GCTGCTATGTTTTTTAGCGTCGGAAAAATCTGGAAAAGAAAGCGCGAGTTTGTGTGGAAAAGCTTGATTTTTTGGGGTAAATCTGACAGGCTGTCCACTAGCCCAGTTCAGCCCGGGAAAAGAAGGCTCCGTATATAAGATTCTGAAAAATCAAAAATTCTTTTAGATCTGACAATCGTGGCGTCATCTTACAGGGCTAATGCTCCTCTTTCGCTTCGTGCAAGATTCATCTCCATATGTGCTTTAGTTTTGGAACTATCTGGAAAAGAAAGCGCACGTTTGTGGACAAATGCTTGATTTTGGGCTGGAAATCTTACAGGCTCTCCACCATCCGAGTTCAGCTCGGGAAAAGAAGGCTCCGTATATGCGATTCTAAAAAATAAAAAATTCTTTTATATCTGACAATCGTGGTGTCATCTTACAGGGCACAATGTCCTCTTTCGCTTTCTGCAAGATTCATCTCCATATGTTTTTTAGTTTCGGAAATATCTGGAAAAGAAAGCACAAATTTGTGTACAAATGTTCGATTTTTTGCGTAAATCTCACATACTCGCACTTACCATGTTGAGCCCCGGCTCAAAAGAGGTCCATATATCCTATTCTGAAAAATCAAAAATTCTTTCAGATCTGACAATCGTGGTGTCATCTAAAAGGGCACATGCTCCTCTTTCGATTCATGAGAATTTCTTGTCCATATGTCCTTTAGTTTCAGAAATACCTGGAAAACAAAGCGCGAGCTTGTGTGGAAATGCTTGATTTTTTGGAGGTAAATCTGACAGACTGTCCACTAGCCGAGTTCTGCCCGGCAGAAGAAGGCTCCCTATACGCGATTCTGAAGAATCAAAAATTCTTTTAGATCTGCCAATCGTGGCGTCATCTAAAAGGGCACATGCTCCTCTTTCGCTTCGTGCAAGATTCATCTCCATTTGTTGTTTAGTTTCGGAAATATCTGGAAAAGAATGCGCGAGTTTGAGTGGAAATGCTTGATTTTTTGGGGTAAATCTGACAGGCTCTCCACTATCCGAGTTCATCTCGGGAAAAGAAGGCTCCGTATATACGATTCTGAAAAATCAAAAACTCTTTTAGATCTGACAATCGTGGTGTCATCTTACAGGGCACATGCTCTTCTTTCGATTCATGAGAATTCATCTCCATATGACTTTGTGCTTTAGTTTTGGAAATATCTGGAAAAGAAAGCGCAAGTTTGTGGACAAATGCTTGATTTTTTTGTGTAAATCTGACAGGCTCTCCACTTTTCGAGTTCAGCCCGAGAGAAGAATGCTCCGTATATGCGATTCTGAAAAATCAAAAATTCTTTTAAATCTGACAATCGTGGTGTCATCTTTCAGGGCACATGCTCCTCTTTCGCTTCGTGGAATATCATCTCCATATGTTTTTTAGTTTCGGAAATATCTGGAAAAGAAAGCACAAATTTGTGTACAAATGTTCGATTTTTTGCGTAAATCTCACATACTCGCACTTACCATGTTGAGCCCCGTTTAAAAAAGGTCCATATATCCTATTCTGAAAAATCAAAAATTCTTTCAGATCTGACAATCGTGGTGTCATCTGAAAGGGCACATGCTCGTCTTTCGATTCATGAGAGATTCGTCTCCATATGTGCTTTAGTTTCAGAAGTACCTGGAAAAGAAAGCTCTAGTTTGTGTGGAAATGCTTGATTTTTGGGGTAAATCTGACAGGCTGTCCACTAGCCCAGTTCAGCCCGTGAGAAGAAGGCTCCGTATACGCGATTCTGGAAAATCAAAAATTCTTTTAGATCTGGCAATTGTGGCATCATCTAAAAGGGCACATGCTCCTCTTTTGAGTCGTGCAAAATTCATCTCCATTTGTTCTTTAGTTTCAAAAATATCTGGAAAAGAAAGCGCAAGTTTGTGTGGAAATGCTTGATTGTTTGGGTAAATCTGACAGGCTCTCCACTAGCCGAGTTCAGCCCGGGAAAAGAAGGCTCCGTATATTAGATTCTGAAAAATCAAAAATTCTTTTAGATCTGACACTCGTGGTGTCATCTTACAGGGCACATGCTGTTCTTTCGATTCATGAGAATTCATCTCCATATGTGCTTTAGTTTTAGAAATACCTGGGAAAGAAAGCGCGAGTTTGTGTGGAAATGCTTGATTTTTTGGGGTAAATCTTACAGGCTCTCCACTATCCGAGTCCAGCTGACGTAAAGAAGGCTCCGTATATACGATTCTGGAAAAACTAAAA